ACTCGACTCTTACTCACATCAACTTTGCCATAGATAGGGGCGCTCTGAGGTTCCCTCAGGAACAGAAATGTAAGCGCAACGGTGAACGGGCCCCCGTAACACGGCAGGCAGTAAAGCCAGGCCAACTTCCTTAATGTATCCGGGCCGGCGGTTTGGCGTATGTGAAACATAACGAGAGTGTTCACGGACATGGCCAGTGCCCAGGACGGTGCCGAGAGCATGAAACTAGAAAAAAGGCTGGTTAGCAGCTATCCATGGTAGCCCATAGATCTCGCACTTACACCTCCAGCAGGAAGCCCTGAGTCTGGCACAAGGGGCTTGCTAACCCTTGTTTAGCGCCGTCATTTCCAATGAGGCAGGATATAGCGGCAAGGCCGGTGCCGAAGCATGAGTAGATGATGAGGGTGTTCGGCAGCGTCTGCAGTCGTCGGAAACGAGCGTATAGAAGTGAAATCGAAATGACGGAGAGAAAAGACACCAAACCTCCTCCCCGGTGAAGATTTGCCAGCAGCTGATATTGATCTTGCCCAAGGACGGGACTGTTCATGACAACAAAAGGGGGCGACGGAGCCCAGTTAGGTAGAGTTGAAGGGCTGAGTTGGTGTTGTTACATGAGGAGCAAACAGGAGAGTCACGAAGAGGATTATCACTGGACTTCGGCCGATCTAGTTCATCTCTGGTTTAGCTCAAACCCAGCAGGAGATAGACGGTTCTGTCCCGGTCCGTCTTCTGGGGCCCTCGTCGAGGATTTGTATGGTTTGCAAACACATCTCTACCGTAGCATCCAGCTGCCGAGATATATCAATTGCAGTGGTAAGCGGCGCGATGGATGAACGGACGGGCTGCAGCTTGCTTGCAGCACAGCCCGAAGGACAGGGACTGGCAGCGAAATGGCTGCCCGGTTAGTGTGTCCGCGCCGCTGGCTGCGTGACCTTGATCTTCTTCAGCTTCCACAGAGCAGGGCAACAGACAGGGGCACTGCATATTGGTGGTTGATACGACATAAGAGTGGTGCTCCTGCGTAAAATGGAAACGAGCTTGGGAAACTGACAGAGCGAGCGTAGCAGGTAGACCAAAATCAGCAGCGCTGCTGGCCGGGTGAGATCGGATGTCTCCCGGATCGAGCCGCACTACCCTGAATACCTCACGAAGTGAACAACCGAGAGTCATCAGCTTTCAGTAAGCCGACGAGGTTGTGGGGTCAATCTAGGCCTAGGTTGAGGCGGCGGTGCGGCGCTGTCACCGACCCGTCCAGCCTTTACGCCGCATGTAGTAGGCAGGATTGGACCATGATGATTGGGTTAATTCTCCGTACGACCCCCGCCTCGTCAAAGGCTCCCGGCTGGGCGGATTATTAATGGAGGTTTGCCTTCATGTAGAACCTGGGGTCCGGGCTGGGGAGAAGGGGCGGCGAAACTGATATGCAAGGTTTAGGAGGTTGCTGGATGAGAACGACAATCCCTTTCCTCCCCAAACTCTGGAACTACTAAGTAGAAACAACACTAGGGTATACATTGCCGGGCCTTCCCTGATTCATTGTACAGTAGGTACCTTTTTTTAGCTGAGTGAAATGCTGGGTGTAGCTGCGGGCTAGCGCTAATTACCAGGTAAGATTGTCCCGACTCTATAGAGCCAAGAAGGAACAATGCTACGCTGCTCACTACCTTAGTCTCCGAAGATATTATCGGGCTGTGCCTGCAGTGGCAAGAGAGGAGCTGGCTCAAATCATGCGGGGTATGCTGTAAGTAAGTCTGCACAGATGTAAGAAGTATTCTGCTAACGTTATCCCTTTATTGGTCTTGAAGGACAAGGCTCACACAATAACGACCGTATCTAAGGGAGATCATGTCATGTTTTAGCTTCCACCACAGGCCTGCCTCCGAGATCAGGCACTTGAATCTACCGTATCTAGGGAAGCGTGATAACCTGATAGGCGCTGACCTGGCAGATACCTCACTCTAAACCCGTATAAGTCCCTGTTAGGTCGAAACTTGAACTTGTAACAGGGTCCAATGATAATGATCTCTTGAAATCCCAGCAAAGTACAGGCTGTCCCACGACCATTGAGCTTGATCTAACGCGAGAATACATCTCTAGTGATACTTACAGAAGCCACTGTTGTCAGTTTTCCTCTGGCAAATATCTGGAAGTCCACGGCCGTTCTGATATCGGGAATGGCATCTCACAGCCAGACCCCTGCCTTCATGTCATTCACTAACATTTTCGAGCCATCTTGGGTCCCATTGCAGCTACCTAATACCTATCCCACAGATGTCAATGAGGATCATTCTGAATGACTCATCCATATCCCTTAGACTTCTTCCCAACGCCAATCGTCGAGACAGAACCGCACCACAAACTGATATTCACCTCATTCTCATACACACCGACTTGAGACAGTCACCGCATTCCATACATCCGCCCAGCATGGCCATGCCCACAATTACCACAATCCACTCCCTATTCACCGTCCGCACGATGGCTCTGCAATCCCTGATCTACTCCTCCATCTGGGCAACAACAACCCTACTAGTCCGCCACCTTGGCCCATCCACCAAACTCGCGCCCGTCTTCATGAAATACCACAACCGCATCTACTCCTTCGCCTCCTTCCTCCTCCTGCTGCTCATCCTGCACCCCCAACACGACGCCCTCGCACGAACTGTATACCACCTCTCCAAATTCTATGAATACCTCGACATCCTATCCGTGACTGCCGCCGGCGGGTCCGTGGGCCTGCATTTCGGCTTCCACCACCTCACCACGCCCTGGCTGACTTTTGTCCGGGTGTTACCATCACCTGCAAGTGGGAGTGAAGGGTGGCGGTGGTTTGCCGCGGCCAATGCGGCGCATCACGCGCTTATGTATGCGTACTTTGGTGGGTGGCAGGGGGTGAGGGGGGTCTTGCTTTGGACTGGGGAGTTGCAGTTGGTTGTTGGCATGGTGGTGGATGCGATGGTTGTTTGGAGGAGGTTGATGAGCGGGGAAGGGGTAGAGAGTGTGTGGAGGTTTGTGGTTTCGGGGGGGTTGTTGGGGTGTTATTTTGCGCTGAATCGGAGGGAGATGGGGATGAGGGCGGAGGAGGAGGGTAAGAGGGGGGACAAGGGAGGAAAGGAGACATGATATACCCGTGCAGGCACCATTCTGCGCTGTGGGACGGTGAGAAGGGGCGAGAAATCTACCTTCCTACAGGGTAGAGTACGAATTACGGTTCTCGCGATATTGAGCCCAATTTCCTTTTATCTCCTGTCGGATCAAAATAGTCCTAAGGATCGATCAGTGCACTTAGAACTTGCCTCGTCCTCTTCAGATCCCTCCTTAGCGCCTCAACACCCCCTTTCCCATCCACCGGCAGCCCCCCATCATCAAGTTCTCTCCTCAGCATTTCCTCAGCAATACCAAGAAAACCTTCCCGTCGGAACAGCCCGCTGTGCCCGTCTTCGCGCTTACCGAGGCGGAACTCACGAGGCAGACCTAGCAGGGTTTCGATCTTGTCGAAGATGTTGATGACGACGTCGATGATCATGTTGGCTTGGAGATTGCCCGATCCTGTACAGTGGTTAATAACTGGTCAAGGGTCTCGCAGATGGGGAAACTTGAAGGTGAAATGGCCACTTACGGACAGGAAAATTGCCCAGCCCGCAGAGCCCCGGGATCGGGTCAATGGTACTATTGCCACTTTGAGAGAGCAACAGGAAGTATTCGTATGCATGCGCAAACAGCGCCACGTGCAGCCTCAGGACGTGCACATAGCAGATGAGGATCAGGAGTAGGGTTGCAGAATCGACCTTTCGGTGGTTCCCTAGTGGTCCAAGTCCCGGGTTGTCGAACCTGGTACTACTAGTGTCTGTAGTAGTAGACGGCGGTATGGTATCTGCAGAAGACTGGCTGCTGTCGTCAGAGGAGGAGGATAAGTCTGACGACTCGCTCGGCGACGATGTCGATATCGAACCATTCGATGCACTCGCGCCGCTGGCGGGGACGGGAAAGGACCTTCTAGGCATAAAGCGCGCCGATGGCCCAGCGATACGGGTCACAACATCAAGATAGCGGCGTGTGGTGTTGAAGATGTCGTCGATTGGTCTCGACAAGGCCGTCTCAGTCACGTCTGAACCTTGGCCACCTGCGCACTCACACTGTGGCATGATGAGAGTCTTCATGGTCATGTAGGGCGGGCCCTGGGTCATGCGGCTCAGCTGGGTTACAAGATCATGGTTGATGCTGGATAGTTCCTCGGCGAGATTGGCTTGATGGGGGACATTCTCGAAGCTGGCATCCTGCTGGACATGAAGACCGAGTTGCATACCCCCGTAATCCTCGGGCGAGCAGTCTCCCAGCGCATCCTCGCAGAATAGAAGCCATTTGCCGCTGTGTGATGATGCCGTGCCCATGGGTTGAGGACGTTGTTCACCAAGTGGCGAGGCAGTGTGTGCAGCAGTCCCTCCGCTGAAGGAGGTGAAGGTCTTGTCTGCGGCAAACAGATGCTCGAGGGTCAGGCCATCAGCGTCCCAGGAGTGTGCCGTCTGGTGCACCGCTGGGATATTGGGCAGCGGTGCAGCAACGGAATCGGCCAAAGAGTTCCATCCCTGCGGACTTTGAGATGAGACTGACGTTGTTTTGGACCCAGAGACGGAGTCGGATTCGGATGTAAACCCAAGCTCGGCCTGGGGCACATCCGACGCCTGCCAGCTCAAGAAGGCACCTGGGATGGATCCAGCAGCCGACGACGTCTGGCCGGTCTGCTGCGTATGTCCAGTACGTTGTTCGCAACGTGCCTGGGTCTGAGTCCGGCTCCGCTTGTTTGGTTTGGGGCCGGACATGGACCTGGAGGCACCGACGGTGGAGGTAACCGAAGCGACGCTACCCTTGCCGGCGGGAAATGTGTAGGGACGAATGTGGTAAATCGGACTAGTAACGCACTGCGCATCGGCCTTCACGCAGCGGTCGCAGCGTCCATCGGTGTCACCCTGACGGCCCTCGCGAAGGCAACGCAGCTTCTGGCCGCGGCATCTGTCACAGGCAGAGCGCCGCGAGGAGATGCCCATGGTCTGTTGGCGTACTTCTCGCATTTCGGATGACAAATTTGTCATCGAAGTTGACTATGTGCAAAGTTGCTATGAATCCGAAGGTGGGCTCACAGGTTCCCGTCCAGAGCGCAATTTGAGCTGTCTCGCAAGGTGCCGTGTTGCTGGAAGCCGAGGGGGGGAAATGGTGCTGAGACGCGCAAGTTGAGCCCAGTAACGCTAGGGGTGGTCAGCTAACGGCTTGTTGGTTTGCTACACTGCGGTTCACTATGTGCCAGTGCTTGGCCCAGCCTGAAAGGGAATCGGATTAGAGAATTTGGTGCTGTTAGTGCAGGCAAAAATCTTGTATGTAAAAATCATCCTCTCGACTACCCCTCTTAACAGTTCGAGAGT